ACAAATTTAAATATTAAAAAAAATGAGGAAAAAACGTAAAGAAAACACTTTTTTTCACAAGTTTTCATTATTATAATTTGTTTAGACATTTTTTATAACAATTATAATATCAAAAATATATTTATAGATCATTTTTTATTTTCTTTACACTTTTTTTTTGTGTCAGTTTATATCGCTGTGACGACTTGATAAATTCACTTTTGTACATTTTGGCTATTATTCGGCCGCTCCAAACTTAGGAACATCCCATAATAATAACCTCAGAGACGGATCCCGACCGCGTCTCACAATCAGATCTCACTAAACCCGCCCATACACCTGAGGATTATCCCACGATTGGCGGGTTGGTGGCGTGCTCGGAAGACGAAAGCCGCACGCGGCCTGCTCACCATTGCAATCATCTGTAAGCCCCTCCCCTCAGCGGGTACGATGTGGCGGTCCATGATGGGCGGGTCGTACGGAATTTTAATCACCTGACAACCATCGCACAACCAAAGTCCTTTTATGGTTGTCAGGTGTACGGGCAGCTTAAAGGAGAACTATGAGGGGGGGAGGGGGAGGGGCTTGTCACTCACCTCATAGTTCTAGCCGACCTGTGACAATGAGACTGTCACAGGTCGGCTCAGTAGATCGGGAGGTGAGGGAACACATACCGGGCTCGCTCACCTCTCGATCCTGTCACTGCTCTCTGCCGTGACAGGGGGAGGGGCTGGATTCCCCCCTCCCCGCTCTGATCCGCCAGCGCTGACTGGAGGAACGGGAGGGGGCGGGTGCAGCTGGCCCTGCCTCTAGATAGGAGGAGCCAGCTGTCACTCACGCAGCTGGGCGGATCCAGACATAATTGTCCCGGCTGCGGCGTCTCAGTATACCGCGAGCTGTAGCCTGCCATATACTGAGCCTCGGGTGACGGGAGGACGCTAGTTTGTGTCCTCCCGTTACCCTGAGGAGAACTATGGGGAGAAGCCCTGACCCCGTACTTCTCCTTTAAAGCTCTCTGATCCGGCCCAGACGATGAGAAGAGATACATTGTAACATTCTTGGGCCTGAAATGTATCACATGGGCCGGTCTATGGAGCTGTGACAACGAATAGCTCCGCCCCCGCTCCGCCCCCTCTCTGATCTCTTCAGCTGTCACATACCATTGAATGGTAACCACTGAGAATCAGCATTGTAGAGCCTCAAATAACTGGCCACATACAGTGTACATCCCCCACCACCAAGGGGTTAATCACACACCAGGGAGGCGGGAGATGATGTTGTCTGCAGCCTTGGGGCCGTCTCCCGTCCTTCACTTATAGGTGATTGTATCAGGTCAGGATCTTCTCTCCCGGCAGATGCTCTGCGCTACAGACCATGTCATCTCCATCCGCCTCTTCCTGCGCCAGCCGTCCCCGCTCTGGACGACATTCACCGTGGAGGATCTGCAGATCAATCCGCTCGGCAGTGGCTGAATCATCTCCCCCCGAAGGAGCAACTCCGGAGCCTGAACAAGGTGACTCCGCCCACTGGTGGGATCTGTACTTCAAGAGCCAGTACAGACAAAATCACTTCAGTTATAGACGGAGCCGGAGCGACTTGTTGGCTTCTTCTATGGCCTGCAGCAGTGCTCGTCATAGTTCCTGGCTGTGTCCCCGCCCCTCTTTGTGTGTCCCCGCCC